ATATATATATATATATACATATATATACACATTTGCCTTTTTATATACATACATACATACAAATAATGTCATAATATATAGACATAATATAATGTCTCTCTATATAAATATATGTATATGTATGTATATTTTACATATATATATGTGTATGGAAAATAAAGCATAATATTAAAAAAAATATAACCACATTGGAACCAAAAAATATTTGGTAGTTTCACTTTTTCTTTTAATATAAACACTCTTCTCTCGTTGGAATCACTATAACCTCTTCCTTATATATATGTACTCAACACTAACATTCCATAATTTCTTACATTGTAATCGTAATCGTATAAATTTTAGCCTTTGATATATATATATATATATATATATATATATATATATATATATATATATAATGATACCAGTGTAATAAATTACTTTGGTATCCATAAACCATAGAATATTAGCATTTGAGCCTTTTGTATTATATTCCTACTCTGTCTTGTACATAGAGGTCTACATGGATTTTATTCTATTGTAAATATATGTATATAATGAACACTAATATTATCAATATATATATATATATATATATATATATATATATATATATATATATATATATATATATATATGAATATATATATATATATATAAATATATATATATATATATATATATATATATGAGAGAAATTGAAAAATATCTTAATGAAAAAACTTTTCGCCTTCATGAGTTATATTTTAATCAGTTTTTAATGGTTTGACATTTGAAATAAAATATATTTATTTAGACTAATGTTTAGATTTCGATGATTAGTCAATTTCTATGAATCTGTTATATATATATATATATATATGTGTGTGTGTGTGTGTGTGTGTGTGAGTCTCTGTGTGTGTGTGCATATATATATATATATATATATATATATATATATATATATATATATATATATATATTATTTTATGTTAAATAAACAAACCTATAGGATAAAGATGGCGAAAGACTTCATTTTCCATAAATACTTGTATTTCCGCACGATCTGTACTTAATTCAGTTTTTTTTTTATTGATTCGGTTTTTTACGGCTTATGAACCCTTTGCGGGTTATTTATACCGAGAAAGTATTTTTAAGTTTGTATGTGTTTCTTTTGAGAGGTAATAATGATTTTAATGACAGAAGCCTTGTTAATTAACCCGCAGCTGTGAAGAGAATTTTGGTCGTTTCTCAATATTGATTGGATATATGTGCAGATCAGTGGTTATTAAGTCTATCTCTCAAATCGTTGTTTATATAATGAATTTGATTCTCACTGGGTGTCCTGCACTTGTGGTTCTTTAAAAGGTTAAGATCTTGGTACACTCCTGTAGAATGATGGCTAACTAGGTCATCTCGCAGAACATTGTTAGTAGAGTGAATTCCATCATCACTGGGTGTCTTAGTGTCGGACCTAAGCTAAACTTGGTAATCAATATCTGTGTTGCGAGGGGAGGGGGAGAAAAGAAAGAGAGAAGTGTTCATGATAGAAAGAAAGGTTAATTATGTAGGTAAGAAAAAAGAAAAGTTAATTATGTAAGAGAGAGAAAGAGAGAGAGAGAGAGTCTCTTGTCAATACCTCATGCATAATGGAAAGAGGATAAAAGACACCACTTGGTTTCTGTGAGGAAATGAATGAATGAAAGAAAGAAATAAAGAAAGAAAATGAAAGAAATACATAAAGAAAGAAAGAAAATAAAAGAAAAAAAGAAAAATGAAAGAAGTAGAGACAGAAAGAAAATGAAAGAAAGAAAGAAAGAAAGAAAGAAAAAATAAAAGAAAGAAAGAAAATGAAAGAAATACAGAAATAAAGAAAATGAAAGAAAGAAAGAAAGAAAGAAATAAAAGAAAGAAAGAAAATGAAAGAAAGAAAGAAAGAAAATGAAAGAAAGAAAGAAAATGAAAGAAATACAGAAAGAAAGAAAATGAGAGAAATAAAAAAAGAAAGAAAATGAAAGAAAATGAAAAAAAAGAAAGAAAGAAAATGAAAGAAATAAAGAAAGAAAATGAACGAAATAAAGAAAGAAAAAAGAAAATGAAAGAAATACAGAAAGAAAGAAAGAAAATGAAAGAAAGAAAATGAAAGAATACAGAAAGAAAGAAAATGAAAGAAATACGGAAAAAAACAAAGAAAGAAAATGAAAGTAATAAATAAAATGAAAGAAATATAGAAAGAAAGAAAATAAAAGAAAGAAAATGAAAGAAATATGGAAAGAACGAAAAAAAATGAAGAAAGAAAATGAAAGAATACAGAAAGAAAGAAAATAAAAAGAAATACAAAGAGAAAGAAAATGAAATAAAGAAAATGAAATAAGTGCAGAAAGAAAGAAAATGAAAGAAAGAAAATGAAAGAAATAGAGAAAGAAAGAAAGAAAATGAAAGAAATACAGAAAAAAGAAAAAAAAAGAAAGAAAATGAAAGAAATATGGAAAGAACGAAAAAAAATGAAGAAAGAAAATGAAAGAATACAGAAAGAAAGAAAATGAAAGAAATACAAAGAGAAAGAAAATGAAATAAAGAAAATGAAATAAGTGCAGAAAGAAAGAGAATGAAAGAAATAAAATGAAAGAAATACAGAAAGAAAATGAAAGAAAGAAAATGAAAGAAATATGGAAAGAACGAAAAAAAATGAAGAAAGAAAATGAAAGAATACAGAAAGAAAGAAAATGAAAGAAATACAAAGAGAAAGAAAATGAAATAAAGAAAATGAAATAAGTGCAGAAAGAAAGAGAATGAAAGAAAGAAAATGAAAGAAATAGAGAAAGAAAGAAAGAAAGAAAGAAAGAAAATGAAAGAAATACAGAAAAAAGAAAATAAAAGAAAGAAAAAAAGAAAGAAATATGGAAAGAACGAAAAAAAAAAAGAAAGAAAAAAGAAAGAATACAGAAAGAAAGACAAAATGAAAGAAAAATAAAGAGAAAGAAAAAAGAAATAAAGAAAATGAAATAAGTGCTGAAAGAAAGAGAATGAAAGAAAGAAAATGAAAGAAATACAGAAAGAAAGAAAATGAAAGAAAGAAAGAAAATGAAAGAAATACAGAAAGAAATAAAATGAAAGAAAGAAAGAAAATGAAAGATATACAGATAGAAAGAAAGAAAATTAAAGAAATACAGAAAGAAATAAAGAAAGAAAGAAAGAAAATGAAAGAAATGCAGAAAGAAAGAAAATGTGAGAAATAAAAAAGAAACAAAAAGAAAGAAAAAAAGAAAGAAAAAAAAACAAAAAAAAGAAAAGAAAGAAAGAAATAAAAAAAAAAGAAATACAGAAAAAAAAGAAAATGAAAGAAATAGAGAAAGAAAGAAAGAAAATGAAAGAAATACAGAAAAAAGAAAATAAAAGAAAGAAAATGAAAGAAATATAGAAAGAATAAAAAATGAAGAAAGAAAATGAAAGAATACAGAAAGAAAGAAAATGAAAGAAATACAAAGAGAAAGAAAATGAAATATAGAAAATGAAAGAAGTGCAGAAAGAAAGAAAATGAAAGAAACAAAGAAAATGAAAGATATATAGAAAGAAAGAAAATGAAAGAAAGAAAGAAAATGAAAGAAATAAAGAAAGAAAAATAAAGAAAATGATAGAAAGAAAAAGAAAGAAATGAAAGAAAGAAAATGAAAAAGAAAGAAAGAATAAAAAGAAAAAATGAAAGAAATGAAAGGTAGAATAAAAAAAATTCCAAAAAGAAAGAAATACAGAAAGAAAGAAATAAAATGAAAGAAATTCAAAAAGAAAGAAAAAAAAAAAAATAAAGAAAAGAAAGAAAAATAATGAATGAAAGAAAGAAAAAAAATGAAAGAAATGCAAAAAAGAAAGAAAATGAAAAAAAAAAAAAAAAAAAGACATAAAGAAAGAAAGAAAGAAAGAAAAAAGAAAGAAATACAGAAAGAAAGAAAGAAAAATACAGAAAGAAAGAAATGAAAGAAAAAAAAAAAATGAAAGAAATACAGAAAGAATGAAAGAAAATGAAAGAAAGAAATACAGGAAGAAAGAAAATGAAAGAAATACGGAAAAAAAGAAAGAAAGAAAATGAAAGAAATAAATAAAATGAAAGAAATACAAAAAGAAAGAAAATGAAAGAAATGCAAAAATAAAGAAAATGAAAAAAAGAAAATGAAATAAGTGCAGAAAGAAAAAGAATGAAAGAAAGAAAATGAAAGAAATACAGAAAGAAAGAAAGTGAAAGAAATACAAAGAGAAAGAAAATGAAAGAAAGAAAATGAAAGAAGTGCCGAAAGAAATAAACTGAAAGAAAGAAAGTAAATGAAAGATATACAGAAAAAAAGAAAGAAAATGAAAGAAATACAGAAAGAAATAAAGAAAGAAAGAAAGAAAGAAAATGAAAGATATACAGAAAGAAAGAAAGAAAATGAAAGAAATACAGAAAGAAAGAAAAAGAAAGAAATGCAGAAAGAAATGCAGAAAGAAAGCAAATGAAAGAAAGAAAGAAAATGAAAGAAATACAGAAAGAAAGAAAGAAAGAAAGAAAGAAAGAAAAAAATGAAAGAAATACAGAAAGAAAGAAAGAAAGAAAGAAAATGAAAGAAATACAGAAAGAAAGAAAAAAAGAAAGAAAGAAAATGAAAGAAATACAGAAAGAAAGAAAATACGGAAAGATATAAAGAAAGAAAATGAAAGAAATACGGAAAGATATAAAGAAAGAAAGAAAGAAAATGAAAGAAATACAGAAAGAAAGAAAGAAAGAAAGAAAATGAAAGAAAAAAATAAAATGAAAGAAATACAGAAAGAAAGAAAATGAAAGTAATGCAAAAATAAAGAAAATGAAAAAAAGAAAATGAAATAAGTGCAGAAAAAAAGAGAATGAAAGAAAGAAAAATAAAGAAATACAGAAAGAAAGAAAATGAAAGAAGTGCCGAAAGAAATAAAATGAAAGAAAGAAAGAAAATGAAAGATATACAGAAAGAAAGAAAGAAAATGAAAGAAATACAGAAAGAAATAAAGAAAGAAAGAAAGAAAATGAAAGAAAATTAAAGAAATACAGAAAGAAAGAAAGAAAGAAAATAAAAGAAATGCAGTAAGAAAGAAAATGAAAGAAAATGAAAGAAATGCAGAAAGAAAGAAAATGTGAGAAATAAAAAAGAAACAAAATGAAAGAAAAGAAAGAAATACGGAAAAATCAAAGAAAGAAAATGAAAGTAATAAATAAAATGAAAGAAATACAGAAAGAAAGAAAATGAAAGAAATAGAGAAAGAAAATGAAAGAAAGAAAATGAAAGAAATACAGAAAAAAGAAAATTAAAAAAAGAAAATGAAAGAAATATGGAAAGAACGAAAAAAAATGAAGAAAGAAAATGAAAGAATACAGAAAGAAAGAAAATGAAAGAAATACAAAGAGAAAGAAAATGAAATAAAGAAAATGAAAGAAGTGCAGAAAGAAAGAAAATGAAAGAAAGAAAGAAAATGAAAGAAATACAGAAAGAAAGAAAGAAAATGATAGAAATGTTGAAAGAAAGAAAATGAAAGAAAGAAAGAAAATGAAAGAAATACAGAAAGGAAGAAAGAAAATGAAAGAAATTCTGAAAGAAAGAAAATGAAAAAATTCCAAAAAGAAAGAAATACAGATAGAAATAAAATGAAAGAAATTCAAAAAGAAAGAAAATGAAAGAAATACAGAAAGAAAGAAAATGAATGAATGAAAGAAAGAAAAAAATGAAAGAAATGCAAAAAGAAAGAAAATGAAAAAAAGAAAGAAAATGAAAGACATACAGAAAGAAAGAAAGAAAGAAAACGAAAGAAATACGGAAAGAAAGAAAGAAAATGAAAGAAAGAAATACAGGAAGAAAGAAAATGAAAGAAATACGGAAAAAAAGAAAGAAAGAAAATGAAAGAAATAAATAAAATGAAAGAAATACAGAAAGAAAGAAAATGAAAGAAATGCAAAAATAAAGAAAATGAAAAAAAGAAAATGAAATAAGTGCAGAAAGAAAAAGAATGAAAGAAAAAAAAAAAGAAAGAAAACAGAAAGAAAGAAAAAATACAGAAAGAAAGAAAGAAAGAAAGAAAGAAAAATGAAAGAAATACAGAAAGAAAGAAAAAAACAGAAAGAAATACAAACAGAAAGAAATGAAAGAAAGAAAATGAAAGAAAGACAAAAAGAAATAAAGAAAGAAAGAAAGAAAATGAAAGATATAAAGAAAGAAAGAAAGAAAATGAAAGAAAATGAAAGAAATACAGAAAGAAAGAAAGAAAGAAAGAAAGAAAGAAAATGAAAGAAATACAGAAAGAAAAAAAAAGAAAGAAAGAAAATGAAAGAAATACAGAAAGAAAGAAAATACGGAAAGATATAAAGAAAGAAAATGAAAGAAATACGGAAAGATATAAAGAAAGAAAGAAAGAAAGAAAGAAAGAAAATGAAAGAAATACAGAAAGAAAGAAAGAAAATGAAAGAAAGAAAATGAAAGAAATACAGAAAGAAAGAAAGAAAGAAAGAAAATGAAAGGAAGAAAATGAAAGAAATACAGAAA